ACTGAAGACTGGAGGAATGATGCTGAAAATACAGCTGCACATCACAGAAATACATTACAGTTTAACAGAGATTCACATAGAAAACAGCCGTTTTAAACTAATAATATTTCAAAATTTTACTTTTTTTTTTAAATCAAATAAATGCAGCCTTGGTGAGCAGAAGAGACTCTTTTAAAAACCATTATAAAAATCTTATCGACCCCAAAGTTTTTGAATATATATATTTCCTTTGTAAACCGCTGCAGCAGATGTGATGTTCACCTGTCTGGGCTGCTCGACAGCTTTCTGAGGGTCTGTTTTAACCTTGTTGCTGGGGTGATTTGTGACCTTGGTGACGGGCTGTTTAAAGATGGACGCCGTCTGTCGGACCGGCAGTGACGTGTTCAGATCAGGTTTACCCTGAAAACAGGCATCCGGACAAAAACATTACCAGTATTGGGCAAATTACTCTGAAAATTTAATCAAATTACTGATTACTCCTTTTAAAAGTATTCACGTTACTGTTCCGATTACTTTATTTCAAAAGTAATTAGTAACGTTACTTTTTTCTCCATTAAACTGATGAAATCCCAGCATACACGCTCCCGATAAATATTTGTTATTAAAGCATCAACATTCACAGAACACTGTTATTTTTAACTAAAGCAAGCGTGTGCATGCTGTGTGCATGGTTTGGCAGAATGCCAGCAAAGAGCTGCATTTATAATCTCTAAAAGACATCTCAGTTCATCGCAATCTCTCAAATCTCTGTTATAACACAATAAATATATGCATAATGAATCTTTCATAATGTCTACAATTCGTGTGTTATAATGAGAGGATTCGTGAGCACGCAGGTTTCAGCACTGCATTGCTCAACGCTGCAAACACGTGTTATAGCCTAAATAGAAACTCTGCATACGCTTGCACCTGTTAATCGTTTATATTAGTTCATGTTGCTTTTGTGCAATAGATGCATAACAATTTATTTGTTTTTAGATATTTTATGTTTAGATATTTCTATTATGCGGGAGTCCCGTGAATAATTTTATTCTCCCGCATCCCGCACACACACACACGAGTCTCTGCACTCAAGTCTTGTCCCGCGCCGCGCTCTGTTGCGTTGGGTCTCGCGGGAGCAGGTCTCTAATCAACCCTCTATGCACAGCTTGGCAATATAATCGCCATTGGCTAGTACATTTTTTTGTTTACTCACCAGACTGATATACTATTTTACACACACACACACACACACGTTTACTTAGCTATCTAAATGCGGACATTACATAGACTTCTATTGTTTTTATATACAGATAGTTATACACTTTTTAACCTAAACCCACCCCTAACCCTCACAGAAAACTTTCTGCATTTTTACAATTTCAAAAGTAAAAAAAAACTAAACTTTGTTTACTTTATTTGAAGGACATCCACAAATTGAGGTTTTTGCCGATTTTGTCAGGTTTAACCATATTTTGGGGACAAATTTGTACCCAAAAGTGAGCAAAGTAGGTACACACGCATACGATTCCACCCAATCAGCTTATCTTTGTAAAATGGAACAGCTTCTTAAATAACTGAATGTGCACTCTTAACTTCAGCCAATCAAGCATTATATTATGATATTATGATAATTAAGCA